TCTAGACTAGCCACTCTGACCTTCAATTTTCGAGGGAAGGTCAGCATCCACTAGTTTGAGCCAGCTCATGTATACACTTGAACCAAGTCCAATCTATTCAAGGTGGGAAAGTTTCAAAGCAAGGCCCGAAGTATTCTAAGTGAGAATAGGTCTTCTAGTGAGATCTTATGGGATTACAAGTACCAACAAGTGCGCAAGTACTAGAGAGATGATAAGGCTTATTAGAAGGTGATGAAAGAGTCCAAGGACTTGTTTTAAGTAATTAGTCCTTTAAATACAAGTAAGAAGTTTAAAATGAATAAATGATTTATCAAAATAAGTAACTATTACTTACCTATTTAGTAAGTCTGTAAATCCATAGTACTTACTTACAAGTCATGCTACATGCCAACTACATGCACAACTGTCTATGTAGTCTGGCAAATCACACTTGCCATGACCACAGCAAAGTATTTACCAGCTGTTCTGTCACTGACTGGCTGATAAAAGGTACTGTGCTCATGACAGCCTACAGGGATGTCGACTATCTGTATGGTCTGTGTCAGGGGAGTTTGGCTCCCGCTATCACATTCACGCATGGGCAATGTTTCTCCCTTTCTCTATCCATATTCCGTCGGTACTAAGTATTTTTCCTTTATCATTCGCTAAATTACTTTACCGAGTCATTGTACTTAATATAGAGTAGATTTGGCTTTGCACCCTGGCAGTTGTTTCACTCAATGTGTCACTGGAGTCGGGGATAGCGAGTTAACTAGTTTCACAAGGGAGAAGAATGACTACAGAATATGGAGATGTTTGTTTGAGAGCTAGAAGAGAAGTGAGATCTGCACAGATTTTTCAGTTTAGTTTAAAATAGTGACACAAGTACTGGAGATCATGGCAAGGATCATGGCTGGACTACAATTAACTTTGAGCACAAGTTTCTATTACTGGACCTGCAGGCAATTATGACTTCAGATTTAGTGGGCATATTAGTTAAACTCATCACATTTCAGGATCCGGTTCATCAGGCTGTGATTTTTTTGAAGCTGGCCTTGCATTTTGTATCATGTAGCTCTGCTGAGAGTACTAATTGGAAGACTCGGAAACAGTACTAAGTATATGGGTAGTGCTTTGATTATTGTTTCCGACGGTATTGAATAGTCATGGGTAAGTATTAGAGAGGAAGGGGTCCACTGCCAGTATGCCCAAGGCTCGCTGGCTAGCGGTAAAGCTGGTAGTATTAGGTTAAGCTACTATGCTATGTACAGGCTAATCTAGTGTACTTTCCATCACGTGGCCTGGCTCCAGTGATGGACAGGTGGACGCGACATGTTCTATCTGTTCCAGCATACACAGGGCACTTAGCCTCGTATTTTAGCCTTGTATTCTTAACTTAGGGCATTCAACGAAGAGAGTAACGGGAAGATATTTGTAAACGGCGGCGATAAATAAGTAGGATTAGATTTACATAATTACAATGAGTGCCCGAGGTCCATGTCCCGATTTGGCACCATCAGTTCGGCTACGTCAAAAATGATGATCCGACGTGGCAGGCCCTTCTTGCTTTCCATAGTCTAGTACATAGAGGAAAGTATATTCCAGCAGTTATTTGAGTGGCAAAATTTTATTCTGGCTCTCCCAATAAATACTTGCAAACCATATGAATCCGGGGAAAATGGATACCGGTATCTGCAAGTAGACATACTTGCAAGTATTCTCTGCTAGTCAACAATACTGAAAAGTGGAATGTAATTAACGGGTTTGGCATTTGCTCCACTGTCAACAGTAGTAGTACACAGGGCAGTGAGATCAATTGTCATTGTAAGAGTCCCGAACTCAGTTGATCCTGTTAGAGCATATGTTCTTGTGCTCGGTCGTTCCGCCACATACGTACATTAGGTAATCTAATCATTCTTTCATCCGTACCACGTCGTCGCGATTCCCTTCGCACCCGAAGGTCGACTGTACCATCCCCGCCGCTTGCCTTATCAGATCCCCAGGTTGATCCTCTTATAAGTAAGTATTTTGGGAATGAGGGTGTGATGGTGGCGCTTAATAGTGCTGGCCCTGATGGGCATTTTTATGTGCTACGTTAGAATTGGCAGCTAGCTGAAAAAATGTAATTGAGGGCAGGTTGAGGGGAGTCTCCTTACTTCTATCCTTTGACCACTCTCCAGGTTATGAGTGACCTCAGCCTCTCCCTCCGACGGTCATTTAACTCAACTTGGGTGTGTTTCCTGCTCTCCAGTCTTTCATTCCCACTGACTTCAATGTTCTTATGTTCTTTCTACTATCTAGTTTGTTTGTTCCCCTTGAGCCTTCAGGCATCTCCAGTCTTTCACTTGCACTTCTTGCCACCCTCCAGCAGCCAGCTTGTGACTACCCCTCACTAACCTCCAGTCTTTTTGTTCCACTGATGGCTATCCCTCACCACCTGTTAGAATGTGAGTCCTCACCTTAGGTGCCATTTTGCCTTTACTGATTCCCATCCACTTGCCACTCTCCAGCATGTGAGTGTTCCCTCAGCCATGAGAGGCTAGTGGAAAAAGAGGAGTAATTTTTTATCTTCAATCTACTACTACTTACAAGGCAACATTGCAGGAATAAGCCTTGATTTACTTACAGCTGCCGGTGAGTGTTTATTTCTCGGATATTGTCTTCCATTTCGGCTGCATGATGTGTTTAATTTATTTGCGTGTCCCTTTTTAATGCACACCAGTTTTGGATCTCAACTCAACTGAGCGGTAATTACTTTTTACTATTACTTTGTTCACCTTAGACGTATGTCTTCCTCTGCTTCCGAAATGCGGTGTCTGGGAAGAGTAGATATTAAATTTAGTTCTGCACAGAATTGCTGTAAATGTATCTGTAACAATTACTCAGCCTTTCTCAACTGCGGTGAGGAGATAAGGTAGCATTTAGAAAATGCCCAGTTCATAATCAGGTGAGTGAACTCCATTAGAGTCGACATATGGTCTGCAACTGACTGTCATCAATCACGAGCTTGAGGCGTTCATCCGCAATACCTGGGTTTTGAATCTTTGATCAAAGCAGGAGTAGTCACTTCCTTCTTGGAAATCAAAAGCCAGGATACTGGCTCTAGAGCGTTCTGAGCTGCTCTGGATTGGTACATAGCAGTCCATAGCTCAACTCAAGTTTTCAAGTTGCAGATGTTTCTATAGCATTGCCCTATTCCATTGATCCTCCAAGCTTTGCAAGTATAAATAAGAGTATAGAGCTAGAGATCACTTATTGCTCCGACAACTTGGTTACTCAAATATTTGCACTTGGTATGATACAAGAAGAGCAAGAGCTACTTGTTGGCCTCGGAACTGCCTGCTATCTAAACTTATGTTCCCTTCTAATCTTTTCCTTTTTCTATGGTGTTTACTCTCTCTGCTTGATCTGACTGGAATCTCATCTTATCTCATGTAGGGTTTGCCATGCTGGGGATACTGATTGCAATACATCTGCAAAAGTAAGCCTGTTATGTTTCGGTGCTCTTTGTTGTGTGGTACATACAGCAATCGGAGTTTAACTTTTACTACTAAGGATCAAAAATTGGCATGAGCCAAAAGCAATCCAGCTTTTGTGCTGTATGGCTGTTGCCCTCATTTCAACTGGGAACATGCTCACTACGGGCTTTATTGACCTCACTCAAGTCAAACTTGGCATTATGGAGGAGGTTCTAAATATCCCGTCTAATATTGTCATTGTCAATGATATTTCTTCTTTTTTTACCACAATAATGGTGAGATTTCTGATAGTTATTATCCTTGTACTCACCTTTCCACTTCACATCCAGCTTTTGGTTGGCGATTTTGTGATCTGCTGGAGAGCCTGGGTCCTCTTGCCTCATGACCAATTTTGGCGGTTTGTACTGGTCATCATTATGGCTGGCAACATAGGTATGGATTGTAAATTTGTCATTGTTGGTGCGCTACTCATAAGCAATCTACTTTCATATAGGTGTCAATATTGCAGATTGCGTATTTATCACACTTGCTGGCAATACAGTTCATGGATTTTATACTTTGGACTGGATTTCAATTGCTCTGTCATTGCTAGTAAACATAGCAGCAACAGCATTGATTGCCTGGAAAGCTTGGTGCTACCACTGTTTGCCATAATTTGACATAATCTCATTGAAATTTACCTTGTAGGGCTCATTACTGCACCATGAGGGAAGCTTTGGTCCGGCAAAAAAAGTCATATTCAAAAAATTCTACTTCTTTTGGTGGAATCTGGGGCGCTTTTTCTTGTTATACAATTATTTGCATTGATAGGGCAGATATTATTCACAGCAGAAAGCACAACCACAGGTCTAACTATCTCCCTCTTTGCACAGATTAGTACATATTTTTTTCCTGCATTTGCTGTGAGTCAGTTTTCAGTATTCTATTCCCAGAGGACTTAGTCAAAATCTGCAGGCACTTTATCCCATCGCTATAATTGTTTTAGTCCATTCCAACAATTCACCTGTAGAGGAAACATTCCAGCTCACAGCTCAACTTCAAACTGTCAGTGCTAAATAGAGACAAACAGTGCTTGCATATTGGCTTGAATTTCCTGTTTGATTATTTATTCTGCAACTTCCAAGCAACTTCTGTTTCCCTAGTTTGGTGCATTGCACTGAAGTGAGCTGGCATGATCTGAGCAAGGATCAACAAAGGTGCTCAGCTGGGTCCAACAAACAGCTAGGCATAGATCACACTTTGGTCTAGGTAAGTAACCTGAAAAGTGGGCTAAAAAAAAGCTAAAAATAATAATAAGTAAACATGATAATGAGCTTGTCATTTTGTCAGAGATTTGAAGTTGAAACTTGACAGTCGTACTTATAGGCAGGCTGCAGGCCGGAATTATATGCAGATTATTATCCTCCCTGCTCCCCCAAAACATGTCTGATGAGGGAGAGGAAATTTGATTTTTTGGACACTTTTGATGAGTAAATGCATATAGTAAAGTAAGCAAAAAGTAAGTAGACAACAAAAAAGCAGTTAACAGGCGCACACAAACAGTGGACAAATCCGGATTTGAACCGGAGACCTTTCACATTTACGGATGCTCCAGCAGGTGTTGGAATGCAAAACGAACTTCATGATAACCCCTACACCATATGCCCTGTAGTTTTCTCCTTGTGACATTATGATATAAGTAACAATACACTGTAAGGTAATGATACATGAAGTAGCCGTTTCAAAGAGAACAAAGTAAACAACTAGAGGGAAAAGAAAAGAAATAAAATAAAAGTTCAGGTTATTCTTCAGTGGACAAATCCGAATTTAGACCTGTGACAGTTCCCTCTATGAGGTTGGTAATCGGTGATCCTCGATAGAGGGACCTGGAAAGCGGCTCCGGACCGTGGCACAGACTTCTTACGGCTGTTTTAGGAAATAACTTTTACCTTCCGTTTTAGGATTTAGAGGTGAGAAAAGCAAACTCGAGCATGATTTTCGTTCCGTATAGCTACTTTTCAGCCTGTAATGGCTCTTGTATTATCCTCAGACGCTTTATCGACACTATTAGGTATTGTTTTGAAGAATTTCCTGCGAGGCACAAGTTCGGATTCCTTTCACGTTTATCATCTCGCTATTCGTGCAGTCTCCGTGAAGTCTCGCAAATGAACTTTGAACAAATATGTACAAGGCTCAGGGTTTTGGATCTCTTAGTTCAACTGTCTTTCACGCTTGTTTCAGGGAAGCACAGACTGCAAAATGGCCTGTTGCAATGTGGAAGACTCGAGGCATTATGCATTATCAATATCCTTCAAGTGTTTATCTGGCCAACTCAGTACAGAAAAGAATGTTTGAGTCATTTGGGCGCTATTACACTAGTGATATGAGAACGATTTATCTGTGTTTCGAAGAAGACACGTTCAGATCACGTGTTGTAGTGGATGTACCACGAACGAAAATCATGCTCCAGTGTGCTTTTCCCACTTCTAAATCCTAAAACGGAAGGTAAAAGTTATTTCCTAAAACGGCCGTAAGAAGTCTGTGCCACGGTCCGGAGCCGCTTTCCGGCCCCTCTATCGAGGTTTCTTATTTAACGTCAACCTCATAGAGGGGACTGCTTTAGGCCTAATCCGAATTTGAACCAGAGACCTTTCGCATTAAGAGACAAGAGAGGGAAATGCAAAGCGAACGTGATAACCCCTACACCATATGCCCATATCATTATTCCACTTCTGACCCGGCAATATGTAATATAACTACCATAGGAAGCATTCATGTCTATTCGTGGCACGGCGAAGTTCATTGACTATCAACCTCGGAGCTCGAAGCTTGATTCGAGGAGAATTGTTTGTATGTATTTTGCATCCCACAAATCCAAAAAAGACAGTGTAACATAACAATAAATGTAATGATACATCAAGTAGCCGTTCAATTTAGCCGTTCCAGGTAGCTGGTGCATTCCAAAGAGAACAAAATAAACAAACTAGGAGAAAAGAGGAAAAAGACTGCGAATTGACAGTTTGGAAATGGACAAATCCGGATTTGAACCGGAGACCTTTCGCATAACTCTTACATTTCGATGACCATGCAAAGCGAACGTGATAACCCCTACACCATATGCCCTTATCATTATTCCACTTCTGACTCGGCAATATGTAATATAACTACCATAGGAAGCATTCATGTCTATTCGTGGCTATTCGTGGCACGGCGGAAGGTCCTCGATTATCAACCTCAGAGCTCGACGCTTGATTCAAGGCGAATCGTTTATCCGCGAAGTACCACCTGACTCAACGTACCCGATTCGAATCTTCCCATCCCAGATATCCAAAAAAAAAAAAATTCCTTCATGATATTTCCCGGATCGAGTCGAGAACCCCCCAAGCGTAAAGAAATAAGTTACAGGTTACGATATAATGGTGAGGGAGGGGGGGGGTGCCAAGTACTGAGTACTGATAACTTTAAGCAAGTAAGGGCAAACAATACGGAGAAGCATAGCAGTTAACGATGTGTGTGATATGGTATGAGATATGAGATATGTGGGTGAGATATATTGCTCGGGATGTATAAGAGCAAGAGAGCAAGGGGGGAGATTTAAGCAAAAGCAAGCAAGAGCGGAGGAAAGCAGGTAGCAGTAGCAACGAATATACACACATGGAAAAAACCCAAGAAGGAAAAAAAAAAAATACCTTGTATCGATGAGAAAGCAAGAAGGGGGTAGAACCAAAAAAAAAGAAACCAATAAGTAATAATATAAAAGTGATAAAAAAAAGCACTCCAATGAACGATGAACGACGTGCTGATGAAAGAATTAAAATCTTTTAAAAAAAAACCAAGAAAAAAAAAACGAAAACCATGCAACAGTTCGTTCGAGTCCGTCCAACGAATGAAAAATGGCAACCGAAATAACCCAAAAAAAAGAAAGAGGAAACCCAAAAACCCAAAGATAATAATAGCAACACTATCTCTAGCAGGGATTCATCGTTCACATCGCGAAACCCAATACCGGCACCATCAACGCAACCGCAACCGCAGTCACCCATCTCATCCCTTCAGAAGAAGAACCCCCCGCACCCACCGCCGCATTCCCCTTCTGGTCCGCCTCCGTCCCCGTCGCCACCTGCGCATACCCGCTCCCACACGTGCTCGTCGCCAGCGCCTCCGCGCCGCCATACACCGCCGCCAGCCCCGCCAGCTGCGCGCCGTTCACATCCAGCGCGTTGACATACATGCTCATCACGGACTTGGTGCACGCCGAGCACGTCGGCGTCGTGGTGTTCGCCACTGCGATCCCGTTCACGAGGTTGTAGAAGTATAGATCGGAGGGGTTGGAGTTGTGTGCTGCGCGGAGGTAGCAGTAGGTGTTGGTGGCGGGGTCGGGGGCGCACCCGGTGGAGTAGGTGAGGGAGTAGGCGTGGAGGGCTTGGAGCGTGGAGGTGGCGTAGAGGTTGGAGGCAGCGAGGTCGGTGGTGCAGGCGGATTGGAGGGCAGCGGCGTAGGAGGACATGGTGCTGGTGCATTGGTCGATGCCGGGGGGCGGATTGCAGGTGCCCCAGATGACGTCGTTGAGGGCTGTGAGGTTTGTTTGCAGCTGTGGGGGACGGGTTAGGTTATGCAAATGGGGAAGGAGATAGACGATTGGACGTACATCAGCAAAGACATCGCTTGTACTTTCTAACAATCCAAAGGGCCTGCAACTGCGGAAGTCCTGCATGTTGGTCATGTTGAGGAAAAAGTTGTAGCAGGACGTGGTAGAGAAGTTTTGAGCGATCGCGGAATCCCATGGTTGAGGGAAAGGAGTGGGGAGGTCGGGCGCTAGAAAAAAAAAAGAGACAAAAATGAGTGATGTTCGAGATTTAGATGTTGGACACGTACTGGAGGTAGGAATAGACGGTATGGTCTGGGATGCAATTGGTATCGTCGTCGATGCAGTGGAAGAACCCGAAGTAGAGCCCGAAACCGCAGATGTGGGTGTTTCGAGTGCAGAAATGGTTGGCGACGCCGTGGCGCTGCTCGAAGTCTGACGACGCACGAGCTGCGTCTCTCCTGAAGCGGACGGCGCTGGTCCCTGAGCGTGCCTATGACTGTGATGCGAATGCGACTGCATCTCGTCAAAAGTCATGTCAAATAAGGAACCGTGCATCCCCTCAGATTTAGTTTGATCATTTATCCAGCCTGCCATGCCCAACAGTTCCACCGCACAGTGATTGCCCAGCGTAACGAGTATCAAGATAAGAGGTATTGCGATGGCCGTCCATTTTATGCGACGGCCAATGCGACGTTTGGATTCAGAGCTGGTGGTAGGGGAAGGGGGAAGTTGGAGCTCGAATTCGTGGTTTAGCGTCGGCGTTAGGAAGGGCCGTGCCTTGGGTGATGAAGAAGATGATGATAAATATGTACTTGCTGATGTCGAATGTTTTTCGTCCAGGTTCAGTGAAGAACCCGAGGGCTGTGGTGTAGAAAAGAGCGCGCGAGCAGCTTCATGCTGCATTGCATCCATAGGATTCGGCTGGTCCAGCTTTGCTCGAGGAGATCCAGGGGGCGTAAACATCGCAGGCGGGCTTTTTTTTTTGGCAGATAAAGAAAGAGCGTGTGTTGAGAAAAGAGAGTGTGTGGATTATAGAACGTTCAGGTTGTGCTGCACAAAGAAAACATAACTTAGTTACACGAGGAAAAGGAAAATAAAAGGGAAAGATCGACAGCGAATTGGGAAATGAAGAACAGTTTTACTCACCTGCCAGAAAACTGCGCCTAGAAGTTATCGTAAAGGACGGGCCCTGTTCGGCAAAAGTCCGGAAATTGGGAGGCTTATAACGTTGAGATTCAGAAGAGCGGCAGACGAAATGGAAAACTCGTGAAATGAACAGTCGTCGAATTTCCGCAAAACTACGCAGCAAACCGCAAACTGCAACCAGCAACTGTGTAAAAACAGAACAACTGATAAGTATTTCTCCAAAACCAAGAAGCCCAAAGTTTGAAGCGAAAAGAAAAGAAAAAGAACTGACCACCAAATGACAGGAGATGAGAAAGACGTACTGGCAGTGGCACCTCGAAGTGACAAGGTACATGAACGAAATTTCTATATGGAAAATTATATTGGACCCTGGGCGCTTTGACCCAACTTCTCACGATATTGATCGACAAACCTAAAACCTTTCTCTATTCCTTTCCGCGAGTCCGTTATCACCTGCACCCCATTCAATTCACCAAAGCCTCCAAAGCCTCGACCGTTCAAACGTTCACTACATACACGCTCTCAATAACCATTCTCTCTCTCAGTGGGGACCCAGGCCCAGGCCCCACTGAGCGTGCACTCTGTCACTCGAAAAAAAAAAAAAAACTTTCGGGGCCACATATCGCATCAACATCACGATGAAGATGGGGTACTACTTTCGTCCTACCCTGTTTCAACCCTCGGGAGAGCCAAGCAGGCCCAAGCTCACAGCTATGCTCTTAGCTCTTCTTAGCTCTGTAGCCTTTCTGTTAGCCTCTGTTAGCGCGATTTAAAAGCATTTAAAAGCATCTGCCGAGTCCGTTCACTCGACCCTGCCGAGAATCATTACTACTAACGTCGAGTTTCGCAAACCAGTACTCAATTCTTCCTACGTGACAGGTCGACCCGCTCTAACCCGCTCTGACCCATTCTATTACAACCTACTACACCCTCCCGACTCCCGATTCTTCCCGAGTCCTTCAATCGCTCATAGGTTTCACCGACAATTACTGTAGATGTTTTATTTAGCAAAATCACTCGGGACGAAAAGCCCTCGGGACGGAACGCGCAGCGAAACTTCCGTGTTCTACTAAAGAGGTATTTAAGTATGTATCATGTATCATCGGGTTTCCCTTCCGGGTATTCCATTCACAGCCCCCCTCTCAAGATCTCAACCCTCTGTACCTGTCCAGACGTCCACTTCCCAACTATCCACTCACGTCTTTCAACATCTCAACGCCGATTGTCTCTGTCCACCGGGCGTCCCCACGTCTCGTGCCATACGTCGGGCCTTGTTTTATTTAATTATTACAGTTTCCCAGTTGTTTTCCCAGTGAATCTGATGTTATTAACTAATATCAATAAATTCATTTTCTACAGTTCCTTCTACTTTCGACAGCTCACGAATGCATGAATTCATAAGATTATCTCCCTACAACGCCCGCCGCCGTATACATACCAATAAATTCAATTTCTACCTTCAACAGCTCACGAATTCATAAGATAATCTCCCTACAACGCCCGCCGCCGTATACATATCAATAAATTCAATTTCTACCTTCAACAGCTCACGAATTCATAAGATAATCTCCCTACAACGCCCGCCGCCGTATACATACCAATACATATCAATAATCCCAATATCACAAATATCGCAGAAAATCACCGAAAAATCACAGTCCTTATACATACACCACGACACTCAATGATCTGTGAATCTGTGCTCCGCCATATCATAAATATCACAGAAAATCACCGAAGGAATCACAGTACTTATAGATACACCACAATACTTCACAACCACCCAGTGATCTGCGATCTGTGATGTCGATGTCGATGTCGATATCATTTGCTCATACATCTTCTCATACATCTTCTCGCACATCTGCTCGTACACATCAACAAACTACAAGTACGTCAACTGTTCATATCCATACCGAGGTCCTGTCTCGCTCAAGTTCAGAAGTTCTTTCTCGACTTTTGAAGTGTCATCTAGCACTTGGAATCAGTAGCGCTGATCAGCGCGCAGCACTCAGTGTAGAAATTACGAAATCCTGCTCAGCGCTGGGCGCGTATCGGATATCGGAAATCGTGAGTCCTTCCAATAGCCAGTTATAGGTACGAAGCGTAAATTCATCACAAGTAGTTGTTGGGTACTTCCTCAAGGTCTTCCTACTTTCGTCCTTCAAGTAATTTACTCCTCAAAGCCTCAAGCTTGAGATTCTTTCCTTCGTGAGCTTTAACCACGGCCTGATGGTCTAGGAGTATGATTCGTTGTTAGGGTTAGCCAGATTCCATACCATTCTTTCGACGAGGTCCCGGGTTCAATTCCCGGTCAGGCCCTGCAACGTAGCTGAGCCATCTTTGACGATATTTTTGAATCCCCTCTTACACATACTTATAACACCCCCACCTCACATACTAAGTTTTTTCTTCTTCTTTCCTCTTCTGCCCATGACAACTTCCATTCTTCAACTTCTAGTTATCTATGTACATCCCCTCAAACTCTTTGATGTTTTCTTTCCCTCTTCACCTCTAACCATGGCCTGATGGTCTAGGAGTATGATTCGTTGTTAGGGTTAATCACATCGTTAATATTCTTTCGACGAGGTCCCGGGTTCAATTCCCGGTCAGGCCCCTGCAAAGTCTGTTGACAATTTTGGCCTATGTTTTTGAACCCCCCTCACTTGCCCAATACCCACCACCAACTCACCACCAACTCACACCCCTTGCTCTCATACCCAACCCAGCACCCAGCAAGTTTGTTCTTTCTTTCTTCTTCTTTCTTCTTCTATCTTCTTCTTTCATGTCAACTTCTGTTCTTCAAGTTACACTTAGTTATCTTTCCTTCTTCACTTCTAACCACCGGCCTGATGGTCTAGGAGTATGATTCGTTGTTAGGGTTAACTGTGTCTGGCAGTTTAATATTCTTTCGACGAGGTCCCGGGTTCAATTCCCGGTCAGGCCCCTCCACACATGGAAAACTTCCAAATAAGAGTCTTTTGGTGATGTTTTTTTTCTATACTGCACAGTTCTTCCGGTACCCAGCCCAACCCAACCCACTTAGTAACAGCTTAGATTATTTCTTCATCTAATCCCATGGCAAGTACTATACAGTGCAGACCCCTATGACCCAAGCTATGACTCTACTTACTATAATCGCACCATACCCAACCCACCACATTCTTTCTTTCTTCTTTCTTTTTGGTCGATGTCAGCTTTTGTTCTTCAAGTTATACTTAGTTATCGATGTACATCCCCTCATGTTAAGGTAAGATCAAACTCAGTTGTGTAGAAAGCAACTATATTATATACCTGTTAAGGTAAGATCAAACTGTACGTATGTCAGTAAGTAGAAGAATAAATATAAGGAAACGATCTCACCTCAGTTGTGTAGAAAGCAACTGAGGGAGTCGTATACGCCGTCTCTATGTGACCTAAATACCAGCTGTATAGTATAAAGTAAGCACGGCGTATACGGAATAGGTATGGTCAAAGCTGCATATATGAGTCCTGATACGTATGTACGGAGTGTACTCCAACACCCCCCCTACTCCGTACGATCCCCAGAAGTGATACCAATTTTGAGTGAGTAGGGCCGTTCAGTGCCTTTGTAAACAGGTCCGCCACGTTCTCCCCAGATCTAATGCGGGTCACCGTTACCTCGCCACTTGCTACCTTCTCCCGCACATGGTGTCGCATTTCGATGTGTTTAACCAGTGCATGTCGGTTAGGGTTTTCCGTCAGGCAGACTGACCCAAAGTTGTCGCCCCGCATATTAATCGGGCCCTCCTGCCCCAGATCTACCTCAGATAGGAATGACTTCAACCAGATCGCCTGCTGTGTAGCGCGGGACAGTGCAATGTACTCTGCTTCGGTGGTCGATAGGGCCACTGTCGCCTGCCGCTTCGAGCTCCAGGATACCGGTCCACCCGCCATGAAGAAGACGTACCCAGAGGTTGATCTCAACGTGTCCTTGCATCCTCCATGGTCGGAATCGACGAACCCGTGCGGTTTTAGTCCTTTACCCGGCTCATCCATAGATTCCGAGTCGGGACATTCATAAACAATATCGTAGTCCAGGGTGTTTGCTATGTAGCCCGCCAGCCATACAACGCACTCCCAGTGTTGGCGTCCGGGGTTTAGCTGGTACCGTGCAAGTAGCCCTGCTGCGTATGCCATATCGGGTCGTGTACATACCTGACCCCACATACTAGACCCGACGAAGGCTCGATATGGTTTGTCTTCCATGAATATCTGTTCCTCCTCTGGTAGTGGGTTCGGAGCTTCTGTCAGGTGGACATTTGGCGGTAATGGTGTATTTCGTCGTCGTACATCCTGGAGTCCAAAGTGGGCAAGCATACGTTTGAAGTACCTCCTCTGTGAAAGTGTGATCGCCTTGGTGACTGGATTTTGCCTGATAGTCATCCCTAGTAGTACTTCCGTTGTCACCTCGTTTGCCTCCCATCGACTACCCAAATCCCTGACTGCTTTATCACGTCCCTCCTTGGTTGACGATCCTCCGCATACGTCGTCCCCGTAAGTGCTGGTTATCGTGTACTCATCGCCGTCCCGTCGGAATCGTATGCAGGGATCTGCCCGTGAGGTTGTATATCCATCATCCTTATATCCCTCTGCCAGTGTTGACTGCCAGTCGTGACTTCCCTGCATCGTGCCGTATATAGACTTCTTCAGTTTACAAACGAGGTGCTCCGTCCCGGGTTTGACGAACCCCTCTGGTTGCTTCATGTATACATCATGGGTGATTGGGCTGTTGAGGAATGCGGCAGTGAAGTCCACCTGGAATATCGATAGTTTCAGGACCGCTATAATTGCCAGTACCAACCTGACAGACTCCATGCGTGCCACACCGCCGTATGTCTTGTCATAGTCCTGACCCTGTATTTGTGTGTAGCCCTGAGCAACGTACCGCGCTTTCCGCTTCAACAAGTTGCCATTTGCATCAAATTTTATTGCGTATGTACACCTTCCACCAGTCAGATTCGCGTTTGGCGGTAGCGGTACGAGCTCCCAGCAATTCTTCTCTATTAGGGTCCTATACTCTTTCTCCATCGGTTCTCTCCATAGGTCTGGCCGTTTCATGGCCTGTTTATACGATGACGGTATCCAGAGATCACCCGATGTCGCCGCGAAGGAATATGGACTTTTGGCGATAAGTGTCAAGGGTCGTTCTTCCACTACTGCTGCTGCGGTCCAGGCCTCCCCTTCTTCTCTCGCCTTCTCCTCTCGCTCCTCATATTCCTCACTCTCGATGAGTCTGCGCGACGGGATATGTCCGCGTGCGCTGCGGCGGGTTGGTTCAGGCGGTTGGACTGGGTTCTGCGGCGGTTCAGGGATGTTATCTGCAGGTTCAGGGTCAACAGTCGGCTGTGGCGCATTTGTCACTAGTCTGTCCCCGGGTATTGGGTCAATGTTAGGCTCGGGTGCAGGGTCAGGTAGGTCCGGCTGTTTATTAATTTCGTTATCCCCTAGTTCCACCTGATCTTCTTCACCCTGCACCGTTGGCTCCCGAGTATGATGCGGCACCCCTTCCTCAAATACCACGTCATGAGATTCCTCGATAGTTTTTGTTTCTGGGACCCAGATTCTGTAGCCGCGTCTCCCAAGGTATCCCAGCAGTTTTCCTTTCACCGCTTGCCTTCCGAGCTTCCCGTCGGTTCTTCTTCGTGGTAGTGTCGCCCAACAATCACACCCAAATGGCCGCAGGTGAGATATATCCTGCCTTTTGCTTGTCCATTGCTCAACGGGTACTAGGTCTGGGTATCGCGCTGACGGCACAAAATTGTCCACGTAGATGAAGGTCGCTGACGCCTCGCCCCAGAATGAGTATGGGAAACCGGAGTCCTCGAGTAAGGTGCGTGTTCCCTCCATAACCGTCCTGAATGCTCTCTCAGCCACCCCGTTTGCAGCTGATGAGTCGTGGGGTACTTTCTCAATAAGTATCCCATTTTCTGCGCAATACTCGTCTACGGCCCCGTTATTCAACTCTCCGCCGCCGTCAATCCGTATTATTCTCAATTTCTTCCCCGTCTGCTTCTCTGCCATTGTGCGGTACTCGTGTAGACATTTCACCCCCGTCTCTTTGCGCTTATTGTTCAGGTAGAACAGCACTCGGAAGGAGGACTTTCCATTGGTGCAGAGTAAGAGGTAGCTACACCCTCCGCGTGTCTGCGTTCTCGCAGGTCCGAATAGGTCTATGTGGACACGCTCGAGTACTTCACTCTCGTGCGTGAGTACCTCGTCAAATGGCTGTCGCTTTGCCTTCCCGTATAGGCAGTCCTCACACATGCCTGCTACCTCGCTTTTGGTGATATTTAGCCCATCAACGAGGTTTCGGTTGGCCATACGTAGTATCCGTCGTATTGCCACGTGCCCTAGTCTCCTGTGCCATGTGAGTATATTGGTTGGTCTATCTCTTGTGCGCGAGTAATTGACATTCGTTTTCCCTGTCTCTAGTATCTCCACCTCATACATCTTTGCCTTGCCATGACCATGTATCACCACCTCCCCTTTAGGCGACTTCACGATCATTGCTCCGTCTCCCCAGGTTCCTCTCATTCCTTTACGGTCGAGTGTCGACAGCGATATGAGGTTGTGTGCGAACGATGGTGTATGCTTTACCCCCTGGAGTTTTACGGTTCTTTCGTCTCCGTCTACACGCGTGACGAACTGTACTGTCCCTACTCCGAGTATTCGGAATTTCCCCGCGTCGCCTGATATGGCGCTATTGCCTCCTTGACCTTGTACCTCGGTATATTCAATAAAATCTGATTTATGCACCCAGCAGTGCTCTGATGCTCCTGAGTCAAGAAAAGTCTTTGTTGCGTGAGCGAGAGGTGAGTATAGGGACGTCGTTCCCTTGCATATGGTACAATCTTTGGGGTCAACAGTTGCATAGCTAAGTACGTCTTTATCTACATCCTGACTTTCCTCCTTTCGCTGACCTGTAGCTTTCAGAACGGGATGATTCGGCCTAGCCTCAGTGTCAGCGATTGGATTCAGCTCTTGGATGGATGTGGACGTACTCGAGGGGTCTGTTGCGTTCACCGACAGGACATAGGTTGCCATGGGAGTGCTAGCGTCAGGTTTAGTGTCCTCTGTCGTGACGGCTTTCGCACTTGGTTCTGTTTTTCCTTTGTTCATTTGTCCCTGTTTAGGTCCTTGACCCTCCATGCCGCCGCCCTTCGCCCAACATTTCCTAGCCATGTGGCCTGGCTTGCCGCAGTTGTGGCAGGTGAACGCTGGTCTGTCTCCAGTGCGCTGTTGGTGCTGGTACGGGCCCTGAGTACGAGTGGCCATGAGGGCTTTGGCTTTCTTGGTCTCTTGTTCCTCCTCCAATCTATCCTCTTCCTTCTGGAGCCAGAGGGTACGAAGGTAGGTGAACGCGTCGGCGCTTGACGTCCCTGAGACGGTGCGAACATCTCGTTTCCAGTCGCTGGGCATGGACGAGATGAGGATGAGGCGGAACTGCGCGTCGGGGATGCTTCCTCCAAGGTCGTGTACCTTCTTCAGGAGGTTTTGCATTTTCTTTTCGTGATCCTCCATGGTCTGTTCGGACGGGTCGAATCTCTGAGCTCGGAGCGCCGTATCAGCAAGGTGAATATGTTGCTCGTCTTTCTTTTCAAATTGTTTAATGAGGTTTTTCCAAATTTCGGATGCTCTCTTCGTCTCGTCGATTCCCAGTCCTGTAGGGTCGACCACGTTTGATACAATGGCTCCGGCGACGAGCCTGTCACGGGCTTCCCACTCCTCATATTGTGGGACCGGACTGAACAGTGGTGTCTGCTGTGGTACGTAGATTGGGCCGGGGTAGCTAGCCGTAGGGGTCGGTCTAGCAATTGTCCCGTCGAGATAGCCTGCCAAGCCTTTCGATTGAATCGCGAACAAGATTTCCCTTTTAAAAGGTCTCCAATTTTCTTCGCCAACGAGCTGTTTCTCGTCTGGGAGTCTCGGTATGTTCAGTAGATTTCCTGACATTTTCGTGGCGGGTAATATACTTTCAATAATGTATTTTTCTTGATATTTGCTTGGTTAGAGCGCGAGTCTCATAATCTGTTAAGGTAAGATCAAACTCAGTTGTGTAGAAAGCAACTATATTATATACCTGTTAAGGTAAGATCAAACTGTACGTATGTCAGTAAGTAGAAGAATAAATATAAGGAAACGATCTCACCTCAGTTGTGTAGAAAGCAACTGAGGGAGTCGTATACGCCGTCTCTATGTGACCTAAATACCAGCTGTATAGTATAAAGTAAGCACGGCGTATACGGAATAGGTATGGTCAAAGCTGCATATATGAGTCCTGATACGTATGTACGGAGTGTACTCCAACACCTCAAACTCTTCATGTAACATGTTTTCTTCCCTTCTTCACCTCAACCATGGCCTGATGGTCTAGGAGTATGATTTGTTGTTAGGGTTAGCCATTTGTATGATTCTTTCAACGAGGTCCCGGGTTCAATTCCTGGTCAGGCCTTCAGCCAACTGAGCCGGTGTTTTTGAACCTCCCTCTTGTCCAATACTCACCACCAACTCACCACACCCCTTCCTCCCATACCCAAGTAAGTTCTTGGTTTCTTCTTCTTTCTTCTCCTTTCTTCTTGGCCATGTCAACTTCTGTTTTGCAACTATGTATGTACATTCCCTCAAACCCTTTCATGTTTTCTTTTCTTCTTTCTTGAGCTATAACCACGGCCTGATGGTCTAGGAGTATGATTCATTGTTAGGGTTGATTACATTGTTACTATTCTTTTGACGAGGTCCCGGGTTCAATTCCCGGTCAGGCCCCTACGCATCTCACAACACATCAAAGTAAGAGCTTTTTGCCAATGTTTGTTTTTTCAATGTTGCAACCTTCTCATCAGGAAAAGCCGTTTTTGCCTAGGTGACCCCAGAGTGGCCTAAAGCAAACTAGGTGACCTATGAATTCTATGGCATCCTAGGAATTTGGGCTCGTCCCTTGCCAGTCAAGGCTCTTAAGGATTCCCCAGGATATCCTAGGGTATCCTAGGAAACCCCAGGGAAACTCCAGGACAACTTCGGGAACACCTGGGCAAACCCGGGCAAACCTAGGCTTGCCCTGGGTTTGCCTAGGATACCCTAGGGAATCCTCAAGAGCCTTGACTGGCAAGGGACGAGCCAAATTCCTAGGATGCCATAGGATTCATAGGTCACCTAGTTTGCTTTAGGCCACTCTGGGGTCACCTAGGCAAAAACAGCTTTTCCTAATGCTATACTGCACCGCGGCTGGCACCCTTCTTCTGGTACCCAACCCAACCCAACCTTGAGCCCACTAATAACTTAAGTAAGTTCCTTTCACAGGAAGCAGCCAGTTTGATGTTGCTCAAGCTTCTCAAACTTTGTTCTTCAAGCCTATTCATGGCCTGATGGTCTGATGGTCTAGGAGTATAACTCGTTGTTAGGTGGCATAGCACAGATATGTATTTTGTTGACTAGGTCCCAGGTTCAATTCCCAGTCAGGTCCTCACGGGCTGCCATTGCAGCGCACTATTTTCTGTAGCCTGTTGGAGTGAATTAAGGAAGGCGTCGAATAAGCTTAACGTTCACTCTGGTCTAATAGCAATGAGCCCTAGCAAATGCACAGGGGAAAATCATATTGTAAGCTACCTTAAATAGACTATAGCTACAGAGAATATACGGAGTAATATACGGCAAAATAAAGATAAAACACAAAGTAAAACTAACAAGCTCCACAGGAGAACAGTGTTGTGGTTAAGACCTAAGACTTAATTAAGACCTAACTTCGCTGGAATTTTTAGTTAAGGGTTAGTTAGGTCTTAATAAGACATGTGATCAAGTGGCTTGCGCCCAAACAAGTCTCGAGAATATTTAACCCCTCCCCCAACTCCACTTCCTTAGGGGAGCTCATGAGCATGCCAAGCTACCCTGGTCATCTAACATCCTTTTCAGTTAATTAACCACTCAACAACTACTGATACCAATTTGCAGAGCAGAAGAATGGGTGCCAGAACACCAGCTGTGACATGTTCCATGTGCAGTATTTAGTTAATAATGGAACTGTGAGCACAAGGAAAGGACAATGAGACACTTGATGATGATGCTTTGGGTGGCTCTGGAGACAAGTACACTGGAAATTAATTGTTTTTACCTAGGCCTTAATTTGCACTTAGATTGCCATTAATTTGCCATTAATTAACCCCTCAAATTAACCTATTAAGACCTAACTTCATTTGGAGGGGTTAATTAAGGCCTTAGCCACAACACTGCAGGAGAAACTTCGGCGAGCAATACCAATTGCTCACCTGACATCAATATTTCCAACATAGCCTTCTATTTGGTGTGCGCTGGCACCCAGTAAATTATTTCTTTCTTCTTGTCCTGTGTCCAATTCAAGCTGGTGAACCAATACAGTGTGCTATTTCTCTTTTTCATTTCTTATTGTAATATTGGCGCAATTAAAACAGTGACTCGTGAATACCAAGTCATGCATTGCTGATTTACTCACATCCTTACTTAAAAAAGAGCAAAGGGACAAAAATGTGCCCAAGCAGTGCCCAGGAGAAAGATCAAGACTGATCAGCGAGATTCCACAAAAGACCGGTTGCTGGTCGGCACTGGTCAAACTACTTTAGTACTTATTGCAGATTAATGTACAAGCTCGGTATATCTTTGGGCTTCTGGCATGGCAACAACCTGGTGACTACCCAGTATCTATCTAAATAAGCGGTAACAATGTAATAGTAGGTTTGGGGAGAGTCAGTTCAAAATATTCCTGGAGTCCCTACCGTGGCTGCCCACTGGCATTAGGGGTACTGGCGGGCCATGGACACTAGGCATTCAATTCCCTGGTGTCACTGATGCAGCCACTGGTGTCGCTGGTGCTGCCACTGGTGTCGCTGGTGCTGTCACGTGTACCGCAACGAGTGTGTCTGGCGCTGTCACTGGCTGGAGAACAGGCCATGCTACCGGGCGGTCTGGGTGTTTGACCTTCGCTTTCTTCACAGTCTCCTTGATCCCCTCCACAAACTTTACAAACCCCTTGAGTTTCTTTTGCTCTTCAATCTCTAAACCTCCCACATACTTTCGACCTTCGTTGAAGTCAAGCATCCCCAATACCTCAGCCGAGTCAGGGTAGTGAAGCTCACCATGGGCTAACATCACCATGGACCTAACCCTCTGAGAACCAACAACGAACCCAAGGCAATAAGGATCACAAAGTAAATTCGGGTTCTCGATCACAAAATAAACCACCGGCTTCACAACAACATTCAATGCATAGCCTCTCTCCCAGCGCACGTGATTAATCATGAGACTTAGCAGGCCACGATTCAGGTTCACTTCGTCCAATTTTTGTTCCTGCATTGTTCTAAGGGCATTGCCAACCAATTGCGTGGCTGAAAGAGGCGGGCCCTTATTGTCCGGACTGTTGTGGGGCACGCGTCTACCTTCGGAATTAAGGATAGAGGCTTTGAACTAGAGAAGTAGGAAGCGATGAATATGAGCATGGGACTTGTACCAAGTTTCAGAAGAAAGCACTTGCAGGACTTCTACTGATATCCCTACGAGAAAAGTTATGCGGTAGCGCACACCCAGAACTGGTGAACATAAGCATGGCAAGAAGATATAGCCAGACAATTTCGGGTTGCATGGTGGTACTATGGGTTTGATTCAAAGGAAGAACATTGGGTGAGTGGAGCACAAAGCGTGAACGTCGAACGTTGAACTGAACCAGCAGTTGAGGGGATGTTTCTCTACTGTCGTCCTTTATATGATTACACGGCTCATTAGTCGGTTAGTCGGTGATGCGATATTTTCTGGTGTTTCAAGCGGATCCCAACAACGGCATTTTTGTAATGGCTGGGCAGCGCAATTTTCGCATATTGATACTCCATGCTCTCCGCCTAGGCCTGATCATTCGCTGCACTACCCACCCTCCAAAGAGCCCGAGCCTACTTCGCCAGCTCCTCTCCCTAGGTCACCCTGAGCTTCCTCCAGAGTGTTATCCTATGTAGAGGATTTATTGTGTTATGTCTTTCTAATTCTATACCAGTGAAAACTCTTGGAAACTATTGCCAATCAGCGACCCTGTAATTGCACTATTAAGGAAAAGAAAGGAAACCAGCCAGGTGGCGCCCACGCTACGCACATGGCGTCTTTTAAATTTATGTGCGCGGATACTGTGAGTCAGTGTTGATCAGGAGCCATTTTGACGAGGCGTCCCCTACGCTGTCTCGCAGCCACCAATGAACAATATGAAGTACACTGAAGTACTCGATATTCCTGAATCAGATAAGGTCTACTTGATTATAGAGATTGGTCCCAGTGGTACGGTGCAGCTGTCCACAGTTCACAAGTGTCGTACAGCTCCAAGATTTCACTTACATACTGAGCCGACCGTTTTGCAGTATCCTTCTATGCAAAAAAATGCTGCAGGAACTATGTCGCAGACCTAGGAAATTAAGGAGGTGCGCTTTGTACTAGAGTAGTGGGAAAAAGATGAATCCAAGGATGACAGTCATAACAAATTTCGGAAGAAAAAACTTACGGGACTGGGAGGAATCCTACGAGACTTAAGACGTTTGGGAGGTAGCTCGGTACTAGGAGCTAGAACCCGAGCTGGTAGTGCATACCCAGTACTAGCAAACATAAGCATAGCGAGGAGATATAGACAGACAAGTTTGGGTTGCATGATGATATGAGTTGTGCGACTCAAAGAAAGAACGTAGGGTCAGTGTAGCTGAAGCGTGACGTCAAACGTTGAACTGAACCAGCAGTTGCGCATCTTGTTCAACTTTCCTCCTTTATAAGTATGATTACACGGCTCATTAGTCGGTGATGCGGATGTTTTCCGGTGTTTCAAGTGGATCCCAATAACCAACACGTTCGTGATGGTAGCACTATAGCAGCATAATTTTCGCATATGTATTGAAACTGGATCTCCGCTTGACCACTCGCTGAACTACTTACCTGCTAAAGAGCTCAAGCCTCCTTCGCCAGCTCCCTCACCGAAGACCAGCCTGAGTTCCCTACAGCTGCCTTATATTCACCCAAGTAGAGCATTTTGTCCTATCGGATGCACAAACTATTGCCAATGAGCGACCCTGTTATCTGATTGCGTTGTTAACGTAAGTATTTTCGCGCGGAAATCAAACATCTGGAAGACGAATCTCTTTTCCGGACCGTCATATCCTAAGTATCTTGTACTGCCTTTGAGGTAAGCGTCTGCAAGAATCATTCGAGAGGCAGTAAATGATACGAAGACATTATCGAAAGTTATATACCTTGTGGTCCATACAGTGTGATCTAGTGATAGCGAGAATCATTTGCAAGTCTGTCCTTGCGAGTGTCTGGGAATAATCAAGATTGGCGAAGTTTTGACTTATCGAATAGAATCGTAAGTATGTCCGAACTTGCTGAAACAAAGCCGAAACGCAGTGGCATTTAGTAGAACATCGTTGGCAGTTCGATTACTCACGTTGGAGGACGTTGGACGGGCTAACACAAGTGGAGGGATAAGAAACCAGTTACTAGCCTATGTATCAGCCTGTGGCATTCACAAGTTGCCATTCGCTGAAAATTAGTGCTTGCGGTTCTTAACTAGCAAATAACCCCCAACGATAGGGTACAGCACTATCGCCCAAACAGATTTACAAGAATCCGACAGAACATGATATCAGCTGTACTCAGCTCCCTAGCCTTTGCCTGCCTTCCCAGCGGTAGCCATGTGTTTCTGGCGCTCCTTTTTCCGCTCGTCTTCTCGCACCCCACCGGCCGTTCCCGAATTTGCTCCTCATCCTGCACTGGAA